AAAGAGGAAGCCCTCCAATGAGATGGATTAAAGTGGCAGCATCGATGGACTCAAGTGTGGCAATAGTAGTGAGGTTGGCCCAGGATCGGGCAGTGTTTAGTTCTGCTGTCCATAAGGTCGCTATGGGTCAGTACTGAGTCAGTGGTACCTAACAACAACAACAACAACATTTAAGAGAGAGGGGAAGCACCATCTCTGAATCAACTATGATTAAAAGGACAGATCCTTTACAGGAAAAGATTTCCCATTTTAAATTATCCATTAATATTCAAACTTGGTAGTAGAATGCTAGAAGCTTTTTAGTAAAGTCAAGAGCAAAATATATACTTCCATAATTATTATTTAGTACTATGAAAGTTCTAGCTGGTGCAATATAATAACAAATAATAAATAGGGAGAAATTTGTAGGAAAGTAGATAATTATGAAGAACAGAGGATGTTTATTAAAGGAAGAGACACATTGAGTTTCTGGATGGCAATTTCTTAACATTTTAAAGCTGTTATTTTCCCCCAAATCAAAGTACAGATTTGATATTTTCTTAGTTAAAATATCAACTAATTTTTTTATGTGGCAAAATTATTGTATAATTAATTTGAATGAGTAGCCTAAAATTTTTCTTTTAAAGAAAAACATTGGGTGATGATTAAGGGAAAAACCTGAATATATTCATCATTAAAATGTACTACAAATATTCAATAATTAAAACAGTTTAGGACTGACACAGGACTTGTTAAATGCTGTTGAATTTGTTTCCAAGGAGCAACTCGTGGGTTTGATCCGCCACCTTATGTTTCAAATCAACCTTGCAGTCTAGTGCTTATCCTACAGTGCCACACCAGGATTCCGATACAGGAATAGAATTGGTTTCTTAGTAATTACGAATTGGGCTTCGAACCTCAAGGTTAGCAGTTCAAAACTACCAGCTGTTCCGTGGGAGAATGATGAGGCTTCTGTTCCCGTAAAGATTCACAGACTTGGAAACCCTGTACAGGGTCACTATGAGTCGGAACCGACTCTACGGCACGTAACTACCAACTACCACCAAGGAGAGCAAAAGACAAAATGCGAAATTACTTCCAAGTATAGATGAGCATTTGAGGCTATCTCAAATTAGTGGGAGAAAGGATAGATTATTTATATGTTAGTGTTTTTCAGACTGAAGCTTGTTTGTGTGGCTCATGAAATCAATTTAGAGAGTGATGGTAGTATTTAACAATATATGAGGGGAATTCAAAAAGTTTATGGAAAAATAGAACTAAAAGATCATGGAATTTTCCCGTGAATTTTAGGAGCCCCCTCATATAGAATAGAAAAGAGAATATTTACTTTCTTATGATAACATTTAGTATTGTTTTGTGGTAACTTTTGGTTTTATTTCTGTTATATGTACATGTGTTGGGTTATGATGTATTCTTCAATGTGAGTCGTGATTTCAAAGTTTAAAATCCACTGCCATAAAAAGTTTTGGAACCATTTTGAAAGCATTAAAAAAATACAGACTGTGTAAACACTGGACTAACTTATATCAGTCAAACAAAAGAACAAAATAATAGCAGTAGTAATCATACTTAATAAAGGAGTCAAAGTAAATAATATAGTGTATACTAAATGCATATGCTTTCAACCAAAAATAATGAATAAAAGCTGCTAGGAATTCAGAGTAAATGACAGACATAGCATTTAAGAATTAAAACCATTTTAATAATAAATATATAATTAACATAATAAAAATATCCCACTGCCATGTAGTCAGTTCCGACCTGTTGTTGTTGTCAGGAGCTGTCAAGTCAGAATGGACTCATAGCAACCCCATGCACAGCAGAATGAAACAATGTCTGATCCTGGGCCAACCTCACTACTGCTGCCACACCTGTAGCAACCCTATATAGGGTTTCAGAGACTATAAATCTTTACAGAACAGACTGCCTCATTTTTCTTCTGTGGATCACAGAGAGTTTGAACCACTCTCTTTTGCGATTAGCAGCCCCATGCCTAACACACAATATCACCAGTGCGCCTTAGTAAAAATATGTTGTTGTTATTGTTAAGTTCCATTGAGCCGGTTCTGATTCATAGTGACCCTATGTTGGGTTTCCTGGGTTATAAATCTTTGCAAGGCAGAATGCCCCTCATCTTTTTCCCAAGGAGTGGCTGATGAGCTCAAACCACTTACCTTGTGGTTCACAGCCAGTGCTTATCCTACAAAGACACTGGGTCCCCTGTAAAAAATATATATAAATAAGATTGGCTAAAAAGATACTGATGGTACTTATTTCCAATATATATATTTTTCCATGTATACCCGAAAATAATTCAACTCCATCAGTTATTGTATGACTTTGCACAAAGTTTTCTAACATTTATAATATAAAAATTAATTGTAAAAATTGATTCTCATTTCTTTCTTTGTTTTTAGAGGACTATTTTAATAAAGGGAAAAGTGTATCTGAAGACAGTAAGCTCAGATTTGAAAATTACCAGTTGATATGGCAACAGATGAATTCTGAAACTAAGGTGACTGCTTTTTTTAAATATTCTAACACTTCTCTAATACCACGAGTATTCTCTTTGGTTTTTCTCATCTTCCTTCTCATCAATTTGTAAAAATATTGATAAAATACAGAACATACTTGTTCTAAGTGATGTTGAATCAGTCCCAACTCAGTGAGATTCTGTAAAGGGTTTCCAAGGAATAGCTGATGGGTTTGAACTGTCAACCCTAACGTTACCAGTCCAGTGTGTATCCTACAGTACCACTCCAGGACCCCACAGGTTATGCTGGTCAAACATAATTTATACATTAAACAAAAAAAAAAAGCAACTCAGGTCACAAATATTAAGATAGCTGTAGGTACTGGAATACATGTTTATAGTGATAACTGCTGAGGCCAGGAGACTCACTCACATTTACACAGCCTTTAAATGGTGGCACACTTTAATCATTCAGTTAAATCGGTAAGAAATCCAGCTGTTTCTTAACTCCTTTTCTGGGGTTTTTTTTGCATTCCAATTCAGACATTTTTTCAGCAAATGGTAGTCCTAGGGCTAGTACCTGGAACAGTGTTGTTTGGTCAGCACAGTGTTATATTTTGTTTTGTTCTTTCAGTGATTTTGGGAGCAGTGAGTGTATACTTTCCAGTTTATTGCTACTGCCCATTACTCTTCTTGCAATATACTTAGAGGGTAATTTCAAGGAGAACGAAGGGGAAATTTGTTTATTTTACTGTCTACTCCTCATTCCACGGCATATAACCACCACCACCATCCCCACTCCTCATTCATGTATTCCACATGAACCCAAATTTTTTTGAGTTTGTAGTTTCCAGTTTAGGCCCTCTTCATTTCTTAATGTAGATTATTATATCTTCTTAATTATCATTCTTGTCTATGGTGTCAAACCCACCAGATCTGCCATTAACCCCTGCAGCACCATTGGACAAATGAGAAAAGTGCCCCTTTGAGATAGATGCAGCCCTGTGCCAGGCTACAGGAATCTCCCAGTTCCTTACAATTATAATCTCCCTGATCCTGTGCCATCGGACCTCTACAGCGCTGCTGGAATTACCCGTTCCCATTTTACATGTTTTTTCTTGATCTAAACTAGATATTGTTGAGGCAGATCTGACTTATAGTGACCCTGTGACTCCTGGTGTGGCTCTATATTATAAGCATAGGATTGCTAACCTCAGGTCAACAGGTAAAACCCACCAACTCTCCTCAGAAACCCTTTACAGGGTTGCTATGAGTTGGAACCAGTTCAGTGTCACTTAGCAACATTAGTGTGTTCCACAGGGTTTTCAGTGGCTGAATTTTCAGAAGTAGATTGCCAGTAGTAGTAGGAAATAAGACTGGACAAATAAGCAAAGGGATAAGAGTACTTCCTTCTACAGTATCTCTGAGTTTACTTGAACTTATAGTTTCTCAGTTAACACTCAAGTGTGTTAATGATTGACACCACCTAGGGATTCTTATCCCTTTGCTTATTTGTCCAGTCTCATCTCCTACTGCTTTTCAAGCTCTTTATGCTTTGCCATGCCTTTGGTTCCCTAGAAGTTTAATAATTTTTCCTGTCCTTGCCTCCCCTACTCTTTATTCCTTGAGTAAATAAGAGGAACTCCTCAGTAAGGGAGTTATCTAAGCACTGAAGTATCCATCACAGGAGATCTAAGGAAAAAACATTCAACATCCATCTCATTATATAATCTTTGGAATTGAATCTATGACAGTTTTCTTTCCCAAACCAGAAAAGATGCATTAGACTACTACTATATGATAGTAATTCACAGACTTTTTTTTTTTGTTTTTTTTTTGTAGCAAATGCAAGAAGAATTAAATAAAAATCTGTTTGACAGTCTAATTGAATTTCTACAAAAGTCTCATTCTGGATTCCAGACGGATTCAAGAGACTGGAGCTGCCAAATAAAACTCAGAGAAATTCCCACTGCTGCTCTTGTTCTAGGTATGTGTGTGCCTATGCATGTTATGTTTTGTTTTTTGATGCTGATGGTTGTTTTGTTGTTGAGAATAGTTAAGAATAACCTGTTCTGATCTATGGGATTAAACCAGTTATAGGTTTGGTTTTTTTTAATACTATCAAAATTGATGAAAGTTCTTAATTCTGATCATACTATTTATAAATTAAAAGAAATTGATCCAGGATTAGTTATTACTATTCCCAATTTTTCTTAATGTTCAGAAAAATGATGGGGAAATATGTTTGTTTCTGGTTCTCTTTAATTCCTTAGGTAATGCATGAGATATATGAGATCAGATTTGGTAATAAAGAAATCACCAATGTGTTAGTAGAATGCATATTTTTCCCATTTTTTGGTTGTAACTCCAGTGGAATTACTTTGACCTCAATTTTATTTTTCCATACTTGTTTTTAAATCTCTGGACCATTTTATTGAATTAACATTAATTGCTTTAAAAGGGATTTGGATAAATTGTATAGAAATTGCTTTGAAATGGCAGGTTTTTTAATTTCTCAGGTACTTAAATAGCTGTTATTAATATTCCATCTTGATCATGCATTTGAATTACAAACTAATGAAAACTTTTTTTAATATTAGTAGATTCTCTCCATCTTTTAAAAATGGAAGTTGAATCTATATGGATTGCAGACATACTCTTCACTTCCCATTTGTCCCTACTTTATTTAGGGACATATTGTCAGGAGGGACCAGTCTTTGGAGAAGGATATCATGTTTGGTAGGGTGGAGGGTCAGAGAAAAAGAAGAAGATCCCCAGCAACATGGATTGGCAAAGTGGCAGCATCAGTGGGCTCAAGCGTGGCAACGATAGTGAGGTTGGCCCAGGATTGATCAGTGGTTTGTTCTGCTGTGCATAAGGTCGCTATGAGTTGGTACCGACTCAATGGCATCTAACAACAACAACATACTAGCGGGCTCTGAGATAATAAACTAATTCTATTTTCATACCATTTCTAATACTGTTCATTACTTAAATCTTATCCCTGATACTCAGAGCAAAACTTCTCCAACTTTAATGTACCTACAAATAACCTAAGGATCTTGTTAAAATGCAGATTTTCATTAATGGGTCTGAAATTCTGTTTTTCTAATAAACTGAGTTGAATCTTATATTGCTGGACCTAGGGCCACATTTTGAGCACAAGACTCAAAGGCGATTTTTATGTTATAATCTACTTTTAGAAGGTATGACAGCCTGCCATCTATTTTCAAAATCCCCTTTCATTCATGGATGAGAATAAGAGACCCAGTGATGGCTGGCTTATACTTTTGGGTGCTTTGTTTCTCTACCATTAAGTTACATTGAGGGATGGCCTGATAAGTGGTTGTGGAAGCACTGTTGGTATAAGAGTTATTTTTATCTGCCATCGCATTGGTTTCAACTCATAGTGGCCCTGTATAGAGTTTCCGAGGCTTTAAATTTTTACAGGAGCAGAAAACCTCATTTTTCTTCCACAGAGGGGCTGGTGGGCTATAACCACAGACTTTGTGGTTCAGAGTCCAGTGCTTATCATATAAAGCCACCACATTCCCATAGTATGAGAGCGACAGGTAGCATTTTCTAAAGAAAGTTTAAATTCCTGTCCTGCCTACTGCAAAATGGAGAAGAGACTTAAGGAGAGTATCTTGCAGGTCAAAGACATAAGTTGTCTTGTTTGTAATATACAAGCCCATTATTTTAAGGAACTTAAGGTTAAATAACATAAAAAGTCAGTGAAAAAAACAAAATAAGCCTAGTTTTGTACTGAACTCCCAAGTTTGCTCAGAGCTGCAGCATTATAATCACAGACCATAATTCATACTAGGAATATAGTTTTGGTAGTATTTTTTTTAAAAAAGGTCTGTACTCAAACAAATGTATAAGCACAGTTGCATATGATCTACTTGCAGAAAGATACATGTCTTTTTTAAAAAAATACCCTGTCAGCATTTTTATTTGTTGACTCTCCTGAAAAAAATAATAAAGTTGCTTATTGCTGGTATAGATGTTTCAGAACCAGCTGTCTTTCTTTTAATCAATGGAATTTTACAGTAACAAGTCTTAAGGAGTTTGAAGATGTCTGCTGCTTGGCACCTGCCTAAATATCAAAGGACATTGTAGAAGAAGCCACTTTAGAAAAGATACCAGTTAGTAGAACCATTTCCAAAGTAGTGGGAAAATGTATGCAGAGCACTAAAACTCTTGAGTTGTGGCCATGAGAACCATGAGTTTGGTAAATACCAATAGGATCCATAATGTGTTAATATGTTTTTAGACTCTTCTATATTTATGCAGTACATTTTGTAGTCCTAGTGTGGTGCTGTAGCATAAGCACTAGTCTGTGACCTAGAAGGTCAGTAGTTCAAACTCTCCAGTTGTTCCTCAGAAACCTTCTATAAGGTCCCTCTAAGTCAGAACTAACTTGATGGCACAGTAGCAACAAAAACACAACAAATTCTTGATTTTTGTTATTAATCTTCTCTTTAAAATATCTTTATTGTCATTTTGTACCATCAAGTCAGTTTGAACTCATAATGACCCTGTATAGTGTTTTCACGGAGCAGCCGCTGGGTTTGAACCACCAGCCTTGTGATTAGCAGTCCTGTGCTTATCCTACAGTGCTACATGAGGATCCATTAAAATAGCTAATTAGTTTCCCTGGCATACCATTATAAAATAGACACTTGAGGGGTAGAAGGAGGAATAGCCAGAACTGTCACCATAGAAAGCTTCTAAATCTGTCTTCTGCCTATAACTGATTGGAATATCTAAAATGGGGCTACAACATGCCCAGTGAAGGAGCTTCCTGTGGAGCTTCTGCATTACATAAGACCATAGGTGGAATCTTGAACAGCATCCAGAATCGTCTAAGGTGGGAATTTTCCACTTGAAAGGACAAGCAGACCAGCCTGGAGTGGTTGGAAGAACAGAAGATATTTCTTGAAAGAAAGACCTACAGGAAAAATACAAAACAATAATGGCAGTCCGACTGATGACTACAAGAACAAGCAGGTTGCTTGCCCAGGAGACATCAAGGCAAATGGTCAGGTCCCCTCAAGGCAAACCCCCTTCCAAGACTAAGACTCAATGGGAATACACGAGGAGACATGCGCTCTTATTGGTGACCATGTTGGTTACCGATAAGGGGAAGTGAGGAAAAAACAGCAATGAAGCTGCGAGCTAAGCCCTACAATGTTCAATAGACTCCTGTGAACCCGGGTGGAGACCTGGTTGGCCAACAGTGTGGCAAGACCTGGGGACTCTTGGGGCCAGAGTCAGTGACATAGCCACAGAGGACTAGAGCGGAGAGTAAAGCATCTAGCATAAGAACACCCACACTTGCAGATAATACCCACTTGACCTGGCTTTAATGACTGAATGATCAGAGCTCAACTAGAAGAAGAAAGAAGAGGAAAAAATGAGTAATCTGATACAGCTTGATGAACTTGTCCTACACATATGGATGCAGTAGTTCAAAAGAGGAAACAAATCTTTATAGCAAGGATCATTCCCACCCCCTTCATACACAGAGTAGACAGGGATGGGCAACTTGGACATTGGCTATCCAAAATCGGGGGGCTACAAAGGCAAGAAGTGACTGGTTGACAAGCTTTCAAGAGGGAACCTGGATCCAGAGGGCGAAGAGGAAGGTAGAATCTCCACTGTGTAGTATCCAGTCTATCTGGGCGGGGCTGATGAAAGGAGATGGGGATAGGTCTCTTATAATACAATAGTGAATAATTGTTATCAGGACTGACTGTGAGGGTTGGAAATATAAAGGTAGACGTTTTGTAGTAAAAGGAGGGGAGTGATTGACTTGGCAGTTCAGGACCAGAAGTCTCTGGGACCATCAAGGGAGAAGAACGAAGAGTGGGACCCTACCCAGAGAAGCAGTGACGCCAGAGATGGAGGCAGAGACAATGACATGGAGAGATGGCGAGCGTGGGGACTCTAGACCCAGAGATGGGGAGGGGATGTGTGCTCATGATTAGGGGGCTAGGCTTTCATGGAGGGGATTGTAACCATGGTAGTGAAACGATATATGATAGAATGAGTGTAATGCTAATGTTCTCCCATGTAAACTATCACATAATTCACAATAAAACATTTTTAAAAAGTTAAAATTTAAAATAATCTTCTTGGTAATTTACTTGACATATTAAAAAGCTGATTGTTAAATTATTATGAATAAAATGATGATTAAATATTGATTTATTATCCCATAGGTGTCAATGTAACAGATCATGAGTTAACTTTCCGAAGTCTAACAGAGACCCTTCAGAAAAACATCACACCATATGTAATTTCACTGCAAGCTAAAGATTGTCCAGGTAAAGAATAAATGCCTTAATGACCTTGAAGAAATGTTACAAATCTCTCTCTCTCTCTAGCTTTTTAAAAATCTCTTTTTATTTGTGAGAAGAAGACAGTGTTACATTTTTTCCAGAGGAAGGTTTAGTACCGCCCAGAGTAATTCAGACTGTTGCAGGACTCTTTGCCACCTTTTGCTTCCTTTATTCACTGAGTAGTGCAGACATTTAAATATGTATTCCTTAATCTAATGAAATTTAGTACTTAGAAATGTTTGGAATAGGGAGATAAGAATTAGGAAATAAGAAACTTTCATTTAGCCTGACATAAAAATAAACTATATTGGCTCACATTTGTAGTCCCAAATCATATTGCCCTAATGTGAAAGATCACTGTATTAAAAAATAGTCCATTGGCAGAGCTAATATAAAGCCATCAAATCACAAAGGATGTAGACACTAATATAGGTAGTCCCTGACTTACATCAGGGCTCCCTTCTGACAACTCCATTGTAAGTCGGTTCTGATATAACTTCTTTTTTTTCCAGTTTTCTTTATTATTGCCTGTTATTATCAGTATCTGTATAATCCCAGTACTTGAACATCTGGGAGTGAATGTCTGAGAATGATAACACTAGCAAATTCTGTACTGTAACACTGTATATAGTACAAATTACAAACAATAAGATTTACAAAACAAAATCTAAAACAAATGGTTGTTAATATGGTTTATTGTAACTAAATGTGTCGTAAATTGGGGATTACCTGTAGGGTAAAAATGTGTTTGCATTGGGACTGACATAAGATCTTTATGTGCTTATATTACTTTCATATTCATAAATGATTGGAATTAAGTAAAAACCCTTAGGACTTCTTCAAAAATGATTATAAGGAAAAAATAAAGGTGACTATAAAAAAGGTTTATAATCAGTAGAATAATTTATGGAAGTAATACCTTTTTTTGGTTTGTTTTGTCTTTTAATTTTTTATTGTGAATCGAGTGAACAAGATCATCAGCTTTACTCTCAAGCAATCATACAGTTTGTTTCATCTCAATGATTACACTCCCCTCCCATTAACAACAGTTATCTTGCTTTTATCCTGTGATGTAAAAATCGTATTTTTCACAAATGAACAAAGCAAAATATTTGATGTACATATACCACACAGAAAATATATATGTCCAGAGAACATATTTTGTAATCCAGCCTCCTTTCCACAGGCACATAGCCTTCGTCAGTCCATGGGCCTAGAGTCCTTAGCTTCTCTGTCTCTCTATGCCATCGCCTCTGCCCACTGTCTCTGCTATCACTGGTTTTCTGCATAGTACCTCACACTCCATTCATGCTCTTCTTTCTTGATAGTACTCGGTTCCTCTGTTCTTGAAATGAAAGATTATTCCTCTAGTTACACATCAAATGAAACGTTGCACATCTTCTACAAGTACAATTGTGACAATTGTGACTAATTCTGCTAGCAGTCTGGCCATTCTGGTTTCCAGGGAGCACACTGGCTGCACTTCTTCCAGTACAAATCAGTTTGTTCTTTTGGCAGCCCAGGGTACTTTCAATATTCTCCTCCAACACCATAACACAAATGCATTAATTCTTCTACTGTCTTCCTTATTCACTGTCCAACTTTTGCATGCATATGAGAGTATTGAAAATAACCATGACCTCGGTCAGGCGCATCTTAATCCTCAAACAGACATCTTTGATCTTGAAGACTTTAAAGAGGTTTTATGCAGCAGATTTGCCTTATTCATTACATCATTTGACTTCTTGAATGCTACTTCCATGAGTGTTGAAGGTTGTTCCAAGCAATATGAAGTCTTTGACAACTTCAGTCTTGTCTCCACTTATATGGATGTTGTTTATTGTCCTGTGGTGAGGACTTTTGTTTTCTTTAAATTGAGATGTAGCGCTACGGAAGGGTTTGGCCTTTGTCTTCTTCAGTACTTTAAGTCCTCTTAGCTTTTAGCAAGCAAGAATGTATTGTTTATATATCACAGGTTGTTAGTGAGTCTTCCTCCAATCCTGATGCCACATTTTTCATCATATAACCCAGCTTCTTGGATTATTTGCTCAGCATACAGGTTGAACAATTATGGTGAAAGGCCATATCTTCCAACTACTGGTCCTTCTTTGTTTCCCACCTTTGGTGAAAGAATAAAACCCTGGTACACACCTTTCCTAATTTTAATCCATTCAGTGTTCCCTTGTTCTGTTCGAACAACTGCCTTTTGGTCTGTGTATAGGTTCATCATGAGTACAATAAGTATTCTGGAATACTCACACTTAGCAATGTTTTCCATAGTTTGTTATGATCCATACAATCGAGAGCCTTTGCATAGTCAGTAAAGCACAAGTAAACATCTTTCTGTGTTCCATGGTTTCAGCCAAGATCCATCTGACATCAGCAGTGATATGCCTTGTTCCACGTCCTCTTAATCTGACTGGAACCTCTGGATGTTCTCTGTCAGTATATGGTTACAGCCATTTTTTTATTACCATTAGTAAAACTGCTCACATGAGATCTCAATGATACTGTCCGATGATTTCTGTATTCCATTGGGTACAAATACGGATCCCTTCCAATCAGTTGGCCAGGTAGTTGTCTTCCAAATTTCTTGACATAGATGAGTTGAGCGACTCCAGTGCCGCATCAGTTTGTATTCCATCTATTGTCCAGTGCCTTGTTTTTTGTCAGTTCCTTCCATCCACCTTGGACTTCTTCCTTCAGGATCGTTGGCTCTTGATCATATGCTCCCTCTTCAAATGGTTGAATATCGACCATTTTTTTTTTGGTACAGTGACTCTGTATTCTTTCCATCTTCTTTTGATGCTTTCTGCATCATTCAATAATTTGTCAATACCGCAAGTTGAGGCTTGAATTTTTTTCTTCAGTTCCCTCAGCTTGAGAAATGCTGAGCATGTTCTTCTCTTTTGGTTTTCAAACTCCAAGTCTTTGAACATTTCATTATAATATCTGACTTTGTCTTCTTGAGCTGACCCTTGAAATTTTCTGTTCAGCTCTTGTACCTCCTCACTTCCATTTGCTTTAGCATCTCTATGCTGGAGAGCAAGTTTTAGAGTCTCTACTGGCATCCATTTTGGTCTTTTCCTTCTTTCTTGTCTTCTTAATGACCTTTTGCTTTCTTTTTTATGATGTTCTTGATGTGATCCCACAACTCTTTGGACCTTCCACTTTAATGTCTAATGCATCAAATCTATTCTTCAGATGATCTCTAAATTCAGATGTGATATATCCAAGGTCATATTTTGTCTTTTGTGGACTTATTTTAATTTTCTTTTGCTTCAGCCTGAATATGTATATGAGCAATTGATGGTCTGTTCCACAGTCTGCCCCTGGCATTATTTTTGACTGATGACTTGGAGCTTTTCCACTGTCCCTTTCCATGATGTAGTCAGTTTGATTTCTGTGTTTCCATCTGATGAGGTCTGTGTATATAGTCATCTTTTAGGTTGTTTAAAAAAGGTATTTGTAAGAAAGAAGTAATTGGTTTTGTAAAATTCTATCTTGTGATATCCAGCATCATTTCTATCACCAAAGCCATATTTTCCAACTAGTGATCCTTCCTCTTTGTTTCCAACCTTTGCATTCCAATTGCCAGTTATTATCAATAATTTCATCATCACTGGCTTTAGTGGTTAGTGCGTAAATTTGAATGTTAGTATTAACTGGTCTTCCTTTTAGGTGTGTAGTTGTACTTCATGACTGGTCTTGATATGTTCTTGTTGATGATGAATGCGATCTATTCCTATTCAACTTATCATTCCCAGCATAGTAAACCATATGATTGTCAGATTCAACAAAGATAAAGTAGTCCATATGAGCTCACTAATGCCTAGGAGTTCAATGTTTATGCATTCCATTTCACTTTTGACAATTTCCAATGTTCCTAGATTCATACTTTGTACATTTCATGCTCTGATTATTAATGGATGTTTACAGCTGTTTCTTTTCATTTTGAGTTGTTCCCCATCAACAAATGAAGGTCCCCTAGAGTTTTACCCCATTCCCTTCACATCATGGTTAACTCTTCTTTGAGGAGGCAGCTCTTCCCCAGTCGCATTTTGAATGCCTTTCAACGTGAGGGGTGCATCTTCCGGCACTATATCTGACAATATTTTGGTGCTCCTCATCATGTTTCAGTATTCAGTAATCTTGTGCTGACAGTGTTCCACTGCTATTCATAATGTTTTCAGTGACTAAATACTCACAAGTGGTCCATCTCTCCTTCTTCCTATGTGTCTTTGTCTGGAAGCTCAGCTGAAACCTGGCCACTTTGGGTGACCCTGCTAGCATTTAAAATACCCGTGGCATTGCTTCCAGAATCACAGCAACACGCAAGCCTCCACAGTATGACAAACTGACAGACCACTGTTGGGGTTGAGTATTAATTAATGTTAATTTTTATGTCAGTTATTTTGATGTAGCTGTAGAAAATCATTCTACTCAAATAAGTGATGTGCAGTCAAGAAGTTTCAGGGGCTTCAGCTATGTTTTAAGAGGCAATAAGCTTGCTTTCTTCTTATATTATGCAGATATAAAGCATTTTTTGCAAAAGCTGTTTTCACAGTTGGTAGACTGTTGTACAGATGTGAAATCCAAAGAGGAGTGTATTCAGTTCACCCAGAAAATGACATACTGTTCAATGGATTTCCTTTCCAGATGGTATATGAATGTCACACAGGTAAATGTAAACTGACAATTTTCTCCTGTGAAATTAGCATATCATTGAAGATACTGTAAATTATGTTAGACACAAAGCAAAAACCAAGCCTGTTTCCATGTAGTCGATTCTAACTCATAATGACCCGATATAGGGTTTCCAAAGCTATAAATCTTTATAGGAGCAGAAAGCCCTATTACTCTCCTGTGTAGTTGCTGATGGGTATGAACTCTGCTGACAGCAGTCCGGTGTTGATGCTACAGCATCACCAGAGCTACTTATATTAGACATGGTGGTGGTGTTTGAGGGTTATGTGCCATGTAGTTGTTCCACCTCATAGCCACCCTGTGTAGTGTTTCCAAGGCTTTAAGTCTTTACGGGAGCAGAAAACCCCATCTTTCTCCCACAGATCGGCTGGTAGTTTCGAACTGCTAACCTTGAGGTTAGCAGCTCAACTCATAACCACTATGCTACCAGAGCTCCTATATTAAACATGTTAAGTGCCATCAGGTTGGTTCCGACCCATAGTGACCCCATATAGGTTTTCCAAAGATAGTACTATTTTATCCCAAGAAAAATATCCTAATGCAGTACCAACTGTTCATTTAGTGGTAGCTACATATTTTTCCTTACATTTGTTGTTGTTAAGTACCGTGGAGTTGGTTCCAACTCACCAACTCATAGTGACCCTGCACAGGGTTTCTGAGGCTGTAAATCTTTGTTGTTGTTGTTGCTATGTGCCATGGAGTCCGTTCCGACTCATAGCGACCCTACACAGGGTTTCCAAGGCTGTAAATCTTTACGGGAGCAGACCACCTCATCTTTCTCCCACGGAACCGCTGGTAGTTTCGAACTGCTGACCGTGCGGCTCGCAGCCTGATTCGTAACCACTACGCTATCAGAGCTCCTTGTTTGTAGTGGAGTTTAAAAGTGTTCTTTTATTAGCATGCAGTGTAATTCCTAGGAAGTTCTGTGGATTTTACAAAGATGTTGTACGTGTGTGAAAGTGTCATATAAATGGCAAAAATAGCATCAGAAGTTCTGTTTTAAATTTGCTGTTACAGTGACTACCATTTTAACACATTATATCATATTTCCTTTTGTGCAGTAGAATCATGTTGCCGGTACCCACTGTCAAGTTAGTCCTGTTTTGTGGAGTTGGTTTTTTTAATCTAACATGATTTATGCTTGGAGGTCTCTGGGAATAAATGCTTTGTAAATAAAGTGTGTGTCAAAGAAGCAAATGAAGTTCCATGCTACTATGACAGTTTCTGGTGAAAGTTGAATGCTTTCAGCACCATAAAGCCACAATCTTGATTAGCCAGACAGTATGGGGAAAATATTATTACGATATCTTTTTTATCAGAATTTTTGTCAGCATAAGTGAGATTTCTTGAAAATGTCCCTGATAACTTTATATTGAAATTCACTAAATCTATTGCTTACTTTTTATTGTTGTTAAGTACTGTTGAGCAATGTCTTAATTTGATCCACAATTTAGATTTTCTTTAAATCAACTGCTATTTGTAATTTGTGTCAGGCATCTTTAATAGATTGTGATCAACTAGATGATATTAAAAGGAGATCTGGTAGCATAATGGTTACAAGTTGTCCTGCTAACCTCAATGTCAGCAGTTCCGCAGGAGAAAGATGAGGCTTTCTGTTCCCGTAAAGATTTACAGCCTCGGAAACCCTATGCATGGTCACCATGAGTCAGAACTGACTCCAAGACACACCACCACCAGATGATATTTAAGGTTCTTTCCAAACTTGAAATCTCAGAGTAACAGAATGGCAACTAGTATTATTCATTGTGCTTTTGTATTAAAAATACTGGTTCTCAATCTAAAGTAAAGCAAGCTATAGTATTCTGTCAACAAAAAAAATCTGTTTTGTAGAAGATTTTCTCTTCTCCCTATGTTTTTCCTGTCATTTTCTCAGACAGTAGAAAATATAAATATTTCATATAAGTTATAGATTTTTGTTGAACTATTTCTTCTTGGTTATTACTCCCATGTCAGACACTGACAAATTCTTCTCATAGCTATTGAATTAAGTTTCTATTTATTATGTGGGAGAAATAAAATAAATTACTATGAACTGCAGAGGGAGAGATCTATAAACCTGTGGTATGATAGCATTGCTTGCTGGGTGGTAAGACTTATTTTTAACTCCTCCTTTCCTTATTGACTTCACAGAAGACAGACTCAAAATTGCCAGGCAATAAAAGGACTTCGTGTAGTCAGTGGCAATCTCCTCCTGTTGTGCTTATCTTGAAGGATTTGGAAAGTTTCACCACAAAAATTCTTCAAGACTTCATAGTTATCAGCAGGTAGATGGTGTGTTACCTGACTTGTCTGCTAAAATCCTCTTTTTATTAAGAAGACATTTCTTTTAACTTAAAAAACAACTACCACCATTTTCAGAGTAAATGGATAATGAGTTAATCTTCATTTTATTACCAGTTGAGTAGAAACAGAAGCAATTTTAAGTTCTTAATGTCCAAAGACCTTCTTTCTAATTTTTCATTTTGCTTTTTGGCCCAAAAATGAGAATCGAAAGACAAAGGGCAGCCAGTTTCTAATTAGCATGGTAAGGCAATGTGTGTTAATTGTATGAGTTTATCTCATGCACTAAGGTTTCAGTCTTGCCTGTCCATTAAATGGGTAAACTGCTCTAGATTGAAATATATTTGTTTTAGCTATTATTTCTTTTATATGTGTATACCCTTACAGATTGAGTCTTAGAGAAAAATTTTCTAACTCTCAGCTATTGTAGCTGGTTGACATGATATGGTATCTGTTATAAGTCTCCATGTTGCTGTTAAGTGCCATCGAGTTGGTTCTGACTCATATTGACCCTATATAGGGTTTTCAAGGAGCAGCTGGTAAGTTTGAACTGCCAACCTAGTGATTCAAATTTTCCTTACTGTCCAATGCTTCATCTCACAGCGTGACATAAGTAGAAAACATTACCTTGAAAATTATTTAGTGTCATTTTAATGGGCGCAGAGCATGGGCTGAAAATAAGGCTTGAACGAGAGGTCAAAATATATGGTATCTAATATCTTAAGGTTGTAATGCCATGGGGAAGGCTCCTGATCTCTCTTTACTTCTCTGTTATTATTTATAAAATGAGATAATGCATTAAGATTGATTTCAGAGCTAGAGTGTCTGGTAACACCTATTTCTGTGTTACTTTAGCTGAGGAAAATGCATGACCTGGAAAATTTTAGCATTTGTAATGATGCTTCTTATAAAGCTGCTTATAAAGTAGTTATTAAAGTAAATTATCTTATTTTAAAATATAATTTGTTGAAATGTATTTGCTAAAGAAATTCTGCTTTTGTGTGTTCCTTTGAATACTAGTCAACATCTGCATGAATTTCCACTAATACTCATTTTTGGAATTGCCACATCTCCTATTATCATACACCGGTTGCTTCCTCATGCTGTATCATCACTATTATGTATAGAACTGTTCCAATCTTTGTCTTGCAAGGAGCACCTGACTACAATACTTGATAAGGTAAAAAGGAAAAATTTTACCAGTGACAAAGGATTAAAAGAAAATTGCCAAGAATAGGTTGTAAATATAAATATTGATAAACCTCTACATATTTCAGAGGAGTATTATATTTAACATTTCTTCACGTATTTTGATTGTTTTTGTATCATTTTCATACTGGTATAGTTCTGTCTTTTCAGACAAAATATAAGCATTATGAAAGGAATAATTTATATGTGTGTGTATATTTATATATATTAGGAGGCTTCCCAAAGTTCATGAGAAAATTCCATTTTTCCATGAACTTTTTGAAGCTCCATTATATACCATTGTTGTTGTTGGTAATTGCTATTGAGTTGGTTCTGACTCATAGTGACCCTATATAGGGTTTCTGAGGAGTGACTGGTGGGTTTGATTGCCGGCCTTGCAAATAGACATCCAATTTTGATCCTGCAGCACCACACCATGGCGCTTTGTCAACAGAAAAAATGTAGGTTTTTTAAATATTTACAGAATTTGTAGTAATCATAATAATGTTTTGAATTGCATTTTACATAAATGACTTACATATTGCATTTTACATAAATGAATTTTTACATAAATTCCCAGACCTTAGCTACTATATTTAATGATTTTATCCAGGTAGAAATATGATTTTTTTTTGGTTTTGACCTTCCACACACTGTTGTTGTACTCAGATGCTTGCCTGATGCAAACTAGTGACAAACTGTCACTTATTTATTAGTCAATTCTGCATACATTTTCCCTAAAAATATGGCACCCATCTGATTCACTGGCACTTTAGGACATTTTTCCAGCTACAATATTTGTAACTGCTTTGTGGTGGCAGATTCAGTTGCTTTCGGTGACTATGCTTCTCTTTATTCTTAAAGAAGCCTGTGTGACTTCGTTTTCAGATGTTAAATTTTCATTATGGGCCATGGAAAATTAACTGAATGATACAAATGAGACATCTGTTAATTTTATTGTATTCCTCATTCCATAGTATATAATGTGTTACTCTCCATTAATTTGCACCATTAAGAATGAAAAAGAAATTGTATCTGATAACAAAAATTGCCAAACACTGCAGCTTCTTCATTGACTTTTTGTGAGTGAAAGAGAATTATACTTACAGGCAATACTTTTAAAATTTTAGGAGTTGGGTGGAAGATAATGGCCACATCTTTGGTTCTAAAGATGTATTAGGAATAGTTTCTTTTGGATTGTTGTTAGTGTTGTATAAGTTTATTTAAGAATTGGTTGATATCTTACCTTAAAAAAAAAACAAACTAGCTACTATTTCAGCTTTCATAGTGACTGTGTCTAATACCATTCTTTGCCTTATTATTTATATTCCATATTTATAACAAGTATATTTCTGTCCCCCTCTCCCTTTATATCTTTCAGCTACTTCTTACAACTCAGTTTCCCTTTAAACTAAGTGGAAAAGTATTACAGGTTCTAACCAACATCTTTTTGTATCATGATTTCTCAATTCACAATTTTATAAAAGGACTTCAGGTAAGAAGCACTAATGAGTTTTTAAATTATCTGGCTGATTCCAAGTAATTTGTATGCTTTTTTCAGTCTGATTATTTAGTCTGGTATTTAAGGCCTTTTAAATGGTAATAACTGAGATAAATAAATTCAAGTTGTATTTTTCACCATTTTTTGGTTACCTTACAGCAAAATATAGTGTACATATTAATTGGGATGCCAATAGTAAGGAACAAAAACAGTTCATTCCACTGATTTGTAACCATTTTGAGACTGGAGAGAGAGAATCTGATGAAAGCTTTTGGACTTCCTACCTAAAAAATTGTATACATTGAAAGCCAGCAAACTTTTTCTGTAAACAGTCAGATCTGTTAAAAAAAAAAAAACATTTTTGGCTTTGCAGGCTGCATATGGCTTCTTGTATCTTTCTTTGTTTTTTTTTTTTAATTTTATTTTGGTTTGTGTTTTCAATAACCCTTTAAAGACAAAGATCATTCTTAGTTCCTAAGCTGTACCAACACAGGCTGTGAGCCATAGTTTGCTGACCTCTGCACAGATGTATATGTGTGTTTATATTTATGTTTATATACTTGAATATATTTTTACCAGGATTTTATAATTGCAAATGCCAATTCATGGAAATAGTGTCAAAACATCTGCTCTAATATAAAAAATAAAAGAGAGAAAAAAACCTTATTCTCCAGTTGTTTAAAAGTTAGTATTTCCTTTTCATGGCAAAGTATAATCATTGTGAACACATGACAGTTGTCAAGTTCATTAAAATTAGCTTATTTTAGTAGTTAGTGTGATATGATAATAACTCACTACAAGTTTGTGTAGTGCCTTGGAAATTATAAACTATTACTCATGTATTCTTCCTCTGTATAACACACTGTAGTTCTTTCAGGTAACTCATATATATCTATTCTCCCTGCCCCCCACCCCCCCACACACACACTTTGACTCTTTTTTTAAAACTAATCAGTATGTGAAATGAAAGATAAATATAATTTACATTATATGCTATGTAATATGACTTATATGTTACATATGATAGTTGTGTCCTGTGGAATCAGTGTTGCCTCATAGCGACCCTGTATAGGGTTTTCCGAGGCTCTAAATAATTACAGGAGCAAAAAAGCCTCCTCTTTCTCCCACAGAGTGACTGGTAGACTCAAATTGCTGACCTTGCCATTAGCAGCCCAGCTCGTAATTCACTACACTACGTGTCATACATTGTTGTTGTTGTCAGTTGTTGGTGTCAAGTTGGTTCCAGTTCATAGCAACCCTGTATAGGGTTTCCGAGGAGTGGCTGGTGGATTGTAGTTCAAATCAAACTTACGGTCCAGTGCCTATCCTAGAGCTCCATATGTAGTCTGTATTAAATAATATATACATATTTAACTCAATTTAACAATTCTAACAGCACAAGTTATATTGAGGGAAACAGGGGCTTCAAAAAGTAACTACAAAAATTTTATTCTTTTTGTTCTTTAATTTTTTATTTTTTATTGAGTGAAAGTTTATAGTCAAGCTCATCAGTTTTACATTAAAAAAAACATTCACTTTGTTTCATTGTGTGAAGGTTTACAGACAAGATAATCAGTTTTACATTGAACACATCATACACTTAGTTTCATCTCATAAGTTTGGGTTTTGTTCCACATTTTCTCACACTCTCTTTGGGACCTTCTAATGTGATGATCCCTTTCAGAGCAATTGTTACTGGTAGCCGAGCACCATCTAGTTCTGGTCTCAGAACCATGGAAACATACAAGTTCCATTTGTCCATTGGACTAATTAATTCCAAGCACCTTTACATGCTTTAATAGTCCATTGGGCTAATTAATTCCAAGCATAGAGTCCTGGTATGGCACTGGGGGATAATGTGCTAGGCTATAACGTCAGTTTGAACTGCAAGGTTGGTGGTTCAAGCACACCAGACACTCATCAGAAACCCTATATAGGATCGCTTTGAGTTAGAACCAACTCAGTGGCACTTAACAACAACAACCTTCAGTTCTCACCACTTGTCTTTCTTCTGCACATGGAGAGACCAATAGTTGCGCTTTAGAATACTACTCATGGGCTTTTAAGTTCCCAGTTGCTGCTCACCAAATTGAGATGTACAAAATTGTCTTTGTGGACTATGTTATGCCAGTTGAAACTATAGTTGTCAGCTCCCAGACCCAGTAACTCAGTGCCTCAAGAAGTTTTCATCATTTTGCTGCTGTATGCTTGGCCACATTTATAGTTGTATTTGCAGCAAAGATAAAGATATATGTACATATATCCTCTTTCAAACTCATGTATTTGTAGGTATATTTCCACTCTTCCTCTTATACCTGTTCTGCCTGTGTATCTGTCCATGTTCTATACACAGAACACTTGTTCCAGGTTATGTAAAAAGCACTGTTGACCTCTATCCCTTTAACCTTTGCATACCTCCCTGTGTCTTCCCCTGTCTTTGTTGATCTGTCAGCCTCCTGCTTGTGTATTGACCACCCTGTTACCCAAGGTAACATGTTTCTACACTCTAGCCAGTGAATTATTCTCCTTACCCTTGGTAATCATTAAAACTGTTTTCTCTCAATATGAAAACCTTTTCTTCAGTTTTTATAAGTCTGGTCTCATGGAATATTTTCCCTTTTGTGATTGACTAGTTTCACTCAACATGTCCTCCAGGCTCATCCATGTTATCAGGTGTTGCACAGATTCATTGTTAGTCTCTAGCATTGCACACTATTCCATTGTGTGTATTTACCAAAGTGTGTTTATCCATTCCTCCATTGTTGGGCATTTAGGCTATCTCCATGTTTTGTCTGTTGTTAATAGTGCTGTGATGAACATCATTGTGCATAGATCTACTTGTGTCGTGGCTCTTATTTCTTGTGCATATATAGCTAATACAGGGACTGCTGGGCCACATGCTACTTCTTTTTCA